CTGACAGTTGTAAGAGGCTATTAATAAGGCTGGGTCAGTCGAAGTCGAAAGCCGGCGTAAATTTTTTGTCAAAAAGTATGAGGAGTCCTGAACAAAACTTAGGCAGATTGTCCCAACTCGGATGTACGCGGAGACAACAAGTGAGAGGAAATAAAGTAGTTAAAAACGAAGAAGACCTAAGGAATAAAGTATTTGATACCAGCCGGACAACTTGTGCGGTAACTGTTTCATCAGTCATGTGTACAGGTCTACCCAACGCTTGTAGTGTCAACGGTGTAGGGACATCACCACTTAACACTAGGCTGGACTCGTGTATAAGGGAGAAGGAGAGATACAAAGTAAGAATGGGTACTTGTAATGTTGGTACATTAACTGATAGAAGTAGAGAATTAGTAGAAGTATTGAAGAGGAGAGAAGTTAACATTTGTTGTGTACAGGAAACAAAGTGAAAAGGAGAGAAATCGAGGGTTATAAAATAATATACTTAAGGAAGTCTAGTATAAAGAATGGTGTAGGGATAATAATGAATGAGGAAATGGAAAGTAAAGTAGTAGAAATTGCTAAGAAAAGTGACAGTATTATGGTCATAAAATTGGTATTCGAGGAAAAGGACTGAATATAATAAGTGCTTATGCACCACAAGTGAAATGTGATGGAATAGACAAGGAAGTGTTTTGGAGAGAGATGGATGAGGTGATGCAAGTGATACCTGGCAATGAGGATGCGGTGATAGATGGAGATATGAATTGACATGTAGGTAATAAGAGGAGAGGATATGAAAGAGTACATGGAGGGTATAGTTTTAGTGGGAAGAATGAGGCTGGAGAAAGAATACTGGATTTCGCAGTATCGTATGATCTTGCTGTGGTTAATACTTATTTTAGAAAGAGGGAAGAGTATTAAATAACATATAAGAGTGGGAAAAATAGATCCCAGATTGATTATTTTATGTGGAAGAGAGAGAGCGTAAAGCGAGTAAAGGATTGTAAAGTTATACCAAGCGAGAGTCTAACTACACAGCATAGACTGATGGTAATGGAGTTGTCGTGTACCGAGAAGAGCATATACAAAAACAAAAGGAAAACGAGAGAAAAATCGAAAATCCGATGGTGGAAATTGAATTGGGAAAATCAAAATGAGTTTGTCAAGATGGTAAAAAAAGAGGACGTTGTGAAATGTAGAGGGAGACATATATGTGTGAAATAGATTTGCTAGTAGTATAAAGAATATTGCAAAGGAGATTGTTGGTGAGAGTAGGAGTAGAATGCCAGGAAACAAGGAATCCTAGTGGTGGGATGAAAACGTTCAAAAAATCATAGAATGTAATAAAAGCAATTCAAAAATTTGATAGAGTATAAACGCCTGTGCAAAGAATACAAGTGTGCAGTAAGTAAGGCGAAGTTAAGGAGGGATGATGAGTTGTATGATAGGCTAGGAACAAAGGAAGACGAGAAAGAAATCTATAGACTAGAAAAAGTAAGAGAGAAAAGGACTAAAGATTATCATTATATAAGATGTATTAAAAATTTTGATAATAGAGTACTCAAGAGTGATGATGATGTGAAAAAAAGGTGGAAATAGTATTTTGAAAAATTATTGAATGAGTATCCAAAAGAGACATTAGAGCATATCTCGTGGAATGAGGGACTGTTAAATTTAATTAGCGAGAAAGAGGTATCGGAGGCTGTGGCATCAATGAAAAAGAATAAATCAGTGGAACCAGATGAAGTGCAGTAGAAGTATGGAAAATATTAGGCGGTGTTGGTATAAGGTGGTTGAAGGAACTTTTAAATAAAAACTTACTAGAAGGGAAAATTCCAAATTAATGGAGGTATAGTATTGTGGTATCGATATTTAAGGTAAAGGTGATGTACAGGAGTGTGAAAATTATAGAGGCATAAAGCTTATGATTCATAGAATGAAAATTTGGCAAAATGTAATAGATAAGAGAATAAGAAATGAGATATCGGTATCTAAAAGCCAGTTTGGATTTATGCCTGATAAGTCAAAAATGGAGCCATTATTTTGTGTGAGGCAACTAACAGAAAAGTTGTGTGTGGTATTTATAGATTTGGAGAAAGCGTATGATAGAGTACTGAGAGAGGTTTTTAAGTGAGCATTAATGAGAAAAGGAATCCTGAAAAGGTACATTAATATAATAGAGGATATGTATGATGGCACTTGTACTAGGGTAAAAAGTAAAGGAGAAGTAACAGAAAGTTTTTGGGTATGAGTAGGAGTCCATCAAGCTTCTGTTTTAAGCCCTTACTTATTTTCTATAGTGATGTATGAAATTACTAGACAAAAACAAGGAGAGGTGCCGTGGTGCATGTTGTTTGCTGACGTTATAGTGTTAAAGGAGAAAATAGGGAGGAATTTAATCAAAGGCTAGAGTTGTGGAGATCAGCTCTTGAAGAGAAGGGTTTAAGAATAAGTAGGAGTAAGACAGAATATATAGAGTACGAGTTTGATAAAGGAGAACACGAGGTAGGTGAAATAAGGAGACCAGTGACAATAGGCGAGGACGTGATTGGAGAGGTGGAAAGTTTTAAGTATTTAAGATCAGTTGTGCAAAAGAGCAGCGGTATTGACGAGGATGTAAGACACAGGATTAAATGCGGGTGGTTGAGAAGCATCTGGTGTCTTATGCGATAAAAGAATTCCAATGAGGCTGAAAGGTAAATTCAACAAAACTGTAGTGAGACCAGCTATGATTTATGGATCAGTGTTGGGCGGTTGATATGAAAGTAGAACAGAAAATGAGTGTAGCAGTGATGTGAATGCTTAGATGGATGAGTAGAGTGACTAGAGAAGATGGGGACTAGTGACTAGGATAAGAAATGAGCATATAAGAGGGAGTTGTAGAAATGAATGTTAAAGGAAAAAGAGGTAGAGAAAGACTAAAAAAGAGACGGAAAGATGTTATTGAATGCGATATGAGGACAGCTGATGTGAGTGTAGAGGATATGGAAGATTGTGTTAAATGGAAGTTTAGTATAAGAGTGGCCGACCCAAAGTAGTTGGGATTAAAGCGAGGAAAAAAAAGATGAAAATAAAAATTTATAATCTTTTATTAGAATCTCAATAAAGTACTCTATAAAATACAATTTTCTTTTAGTCGCCTGAAAATAAAAATTTATCTACTAAATAAGAAATGTTCGTATCAAGTATTTTAATGTATTATGTAATATATTTGGATAAATATATTTATAATATATTCTCCTATAGAAGAATACAAGATAAAATGGGACAACTTGTTTTCAAATATCAAATAAAGATGAAAACATTAATTAAAGTAGAATTTATTAAAGTATTACGTTCAATGGCATTATCAGGGTTTTATTTTGAGAGGAGATATATAGTGTTCAGTATGTAGAGAAACAGGTTTCTATTGTTTTCATTGATAATAACAAATGACCTGTTTCTTTACTTATTGAACACCCTGTATTTAAGAATTTTTTTTACAACCCTCTCTAAAATACATCTATTTATTATTATATTATTTATTTTCATTGTGGGAGGGAGAGTTCTTTCACCCAATCATCTCTATGAGAAAACTCATGATTACATTATAGTACAACAAATTATTTAATAAAATTTATCAAATTTTCATTTTTTTTTATTTTTATATTTTAAGAGTAATAAAATAAAATATTGACTGTCTTAAAATATTTTAAGTCAGTCAAAAAATCTATATAATTTATCTAATTATAAAGATTTTTTTTATAGTATAAACTTTTTTATATACCGTTTATTTTAATATATATATATGATGATATATCTAACTCACAAATATCATAACTATTGACATAATTAATACCCTTATAATATATCATGTATGAATTAAAAAAGTAATAAATAACTGCCAAACTAAGAAATATATGAAACTAAAAAGTGATTTTAATAACATAACTATTATTTTAAATGAAATTAAAAATAATGAGTAGCACTTTATATGAAAAAGTAATCATAAATAGTCTTTTTATTTATAAGTATGCTTGGGTAATAAATTAGATCAAAATACTAAACACCAAAACTTAAAATTTAAATCAGTTACTACCAAACCTCTCTTACAAAATAAATAAAATAAAATAATTTATTGTTCCATTTTATCTATATAGTAGGGTAAAATAGGGCATGACATTTTTTTTAGTTGTTGTCTAAAATACATAATTTATTTTAACAAATAACAAGAATTTTTTTAGTACAAATATTTTAAATTTTAATAATTTTTTTGTTATTCAAAAAAAGTTAAACTAAGTTTACTGCCTTTTTAAAAGTACTACACCATATTTAGCTAATCCTACGTTTAATTTAAGTTTTAAAAAATAATTCATCATTCGTGAACTATACTTGGTACACGTACTTTTTCACTTTTTCCTTGAAGTTTAATAGATTTTAAAGATATCAAATAATTATACTAGTATGTTCAAGATTTTTAATTTGCATTGCCTTTTCATTTTATTGTAACAAAGTTGAAAATTTGTTGACAATGTCAAAATAATCAATTACATTGAAATATCCACAATTACTTACTTAATTAACCCATGCCCGCCCTTTATTTTCATTATTTCTGCTTTATAATGCAGTAAAATGAAGTATTGTCAAGTTCCTAGGGTATTTGATTCATTTCTAATAATATGGTTAATATTACATTTCAGTTTTTAGGGAATAACGACGAAATATTTTAAACTTGAGTAACTTGATCATGATTTACTACAGGAATTGTACAAAAATATGTGTTACTTTCTAAGTTCGAAATTGTTTTTTAGACTTTCTCAATAATATAATATCATACTAAAAATTTAATGAAAATTCAGTAGTTTCTTATCAGGCAACGACAATTGTCTGGTACACTGATAAAAATATAACAGCAGCAAGATTTTACAGTGAAGCCGCTATCGCCGGGCTCCAATTACTGCGTATCGCCTTGTAGTGACTCAATAGATGACGTTGCACAACAAGGACAATAAAAGCCTACGTTAGAGTTATTATACTGTAATAATATGTTGGTGCAAAATCATCGTCTCGGTCGTTGGTGATAACGCATAGCAGCCATATTTGTATGTTATGTGTAAGTCTAGCCTGTCTGCCGTCCGTTGTCTTTTATGTAGTACATAATTATTAAGAAATTTTATTTTGTTAGCGTATCTTAGTTGCTCTGTTGATCGATTAGGACGTAAACGTCTTTTTACTTAGGTTAAACATATTCAATCTGTGTAGTTTAATTTTATACATATTTTGTGTAACTGTAAAAAAACCTAGATATCGAAAAACCAGTTATCACACATAAGCTGTTAGCGATTCCATACTGTACTACGTTTTCCAATAATTAGAAGAATAATACGCCCCTATTGTTGCTTTACAACTTATTATTTTGCCGCTGTCAATTAATTTTTAAGTATTTTGTTTTAATCTATTGTCAAAGAAAAACTAAACATGAGTCCTGATTAGTGAGTATATTTTTCTTAATATAACTAATTATATAATAATTAATTTGTAATATTTTTTTATAAACAATTTAATTTTCTGAAATCAAGTTTTGATATTCTAAGTATAATTCATTACTCATGTTTAAGGAAATTGACTTTTTCATAATTTATTTTACTCTAGTGATTACCTGTTCAAATTGTTGTTAATTGGAGACTCTGGAGTTGGAAAATCATGTCTTCTTCTTCGATTTGCAGTAAGTTAGAATATGTCTTAGTGAATTGAATATGATTTATATACTTTTTTTTAGGATGACACTTATACAGACAGCTATATTAGTACAATTGGAGTAGATTTTGTAAGTATTTCATATTTATCACATTAATAGAATATCTAAAAAAAACTGTTAACACTTAATTAATTTTTTTTTTATAGAAAATCCGTACTATTAAATTGGACAATAAAACAGTTAAGCTGCAAATTGTAAGTATAAATTATGATAAATTGTTAATCAATAAATGTATTTATAAGTATCACATTTGTTTTTATAAATTTCAGTGGGATACTGCAGGTCAAGAGCGATTTAGGACTATCACTTCCTCGTACTATAGAGGAGCTCATGGTATCATTGTTGTCTATGATTGTACAGATATGGAAACCTTTACTAATCTCAAACAATGGCTTGAAGAAATATCTAGATATGCATGTGAAAATGTAAATAAACTGTTGGTTGGAAACAAGTGTGATATGACTGATAAAAGAGCAGTTGATGAAGCTACAGCCAAAGTATGCATTTATTTTTTTTAAATTATAATCTTTTATGGTTATTAATGATCTAGAAAAAAAACTGAACTCAGTTTACTGATAGATAAAAGTTTATCATTATGTTTAGGGAACACCTATAGTCACCATAAAAAGTCAGACTAACTAAAGCTTCCATCCTAATCTCATTTATTGGTTATGTTTTGAAATGTTGTTCTATATTTTTTTCTCTAATAATGAACACAGTTACATGTAACAGTTACCTGAAATTTATATTCTTAATAAAGTATAAGTAATTATTTTGTCTAATATTATTTTAGGAATATGCAGATCATCTCAAAATTCCATTTTTGGAAACATCAGCTAAAAATGCAACCAACGTTGAATTAGCCTTTTTGACGATGGCCAGTGAAATTAAGAACCGAATAGGTCCCCAAGATGGTCAGTCTGTTGGTGGACCTGGTGGAGAAGCTGGAAAAGTGACTATTGATTCTTCAAGCAAGAATGCTGAAACACAAAGTGGTTGCTGTTAATAAAACTAAACGTATGGACCAAGCAGATAATATTTTTTTGTTTCTTACAATTACTAAAACAAGCCAAATAAACTGCTATTTAAAATTAATATGGTCGCTAATTAATATTATTATATATTATTTAAAGTAAATTATCCTCCTTTTAAATGAGTTGTAATATATTTAATATATATATATATATATATTGATGAATTAATTTCAATTTTTTCTTATTTAAATTACTTTCCCTTTACCCACTTTTAATTACTGTAAAAATTACCATTGTCATTGTCCATTCCTTTTATACCCAAATAAATGCAATTTGTATTCACATCTTACACTATATTATATATTATTATATTTACAATTTTATTCATTTGCGCTCAGGTGTTTTATTTTAGTGTATTTTTTTGTTATGCATACATACAAAGTCTTATGTTTATACATTCAATAATATTAAAATATATGTATATACATAATTATATATACATGGTGTAAATTTTTGTGGTATAAACGCTAAATAACACTGTTTGTGGTGTTAAGTATTATTATTAAATACTATATGTTGTATTAAAGGAAAACATTCTTTAGATACATATATTATTTCCATTTATATCAATGCTATTTTTCTTAATAATATATTATTAAAGTGTTCCTTAAATTTAAAAAAAAATCAATTATATTTTACTAATATCAAGAGTGATGGTGTACTCTATAAATATGTGGAAGCGTGTATCCTACAATGAAAGCTTTATTGATAAGTTTGTTAGTATACAACAAAATGCAATTAATTTAACTAACACAATTCAATTATGTGGCATGGTGTTATTAGAATTTTGTTTATGAAGATGATCAAAAAATGTGTTTTAAATAAGGGGCAGTGTGTTTAACTATCTGAAGATAATTGATATGACTACGATTAAAAATGTTTTGCATACTTAAAAACTTGCGTAAATACTATAAAACGTCTCATAAGACTAATGTAAGATTTGAAATTTTTTAAATTTTATATAGTGTTTAAAACGTAATAATCTTATATACAAAAATAACATTTGTCTGACAACGGTCAAGTTTGAAGGTTATTAAGTACTATCATGTCATTTAATAAGAAAAATTTTAAAGATAAAAGTGCCATTGTTGTAACAAGAAAAATGTTAAGTTTAAACTTCTTAAAATATTTAAACTATAAAAGGCATAAAAATATATTATTCACTCTGTATATATTATATACTAGTGATTCCTTAACTATGTCTCACGAAATATCTCCAAAAATATTAATTTATTATTATTTTTTTAATAATAATGTATTTTGTTGAGCTACTTCATACAAAAAATTAATTTTTTGATAATATTTCTTATACACTGACCTCATCTTACCATTTTCAAATGGGATCCCAATTTTTATTTTAAATCAGATTTATTCTATTTAAAAAAATATTTTTAGCTTCGATGCAAACCTGAGAAGGTATTTTACTGTGATGTGTTTATTTTTTTTTTTGTGTCTGTCACTACTTTTTCTCAGCTCTCACTGGATCGATTTTTCTCAGCGATACGTCAAAAGATCACAAATCATATCTAGTTTACCCTCAAAAATTGAAAATTTTGCCCTCGTTCCCTGTAAATAGTGAAAATCTCCCAAAAAATTACAATTTTTAGAATCAATAAATTTCGAAATTTTTTTATTCTAAAAATTGCCATAACTCATTGAAAAATGAACATATCAAAATAATTATTTTTTATGTTGAAACCTTAGATATTTCCCTTTCATTTGATACAAGTTTTTTGAAAATTTGACCCTTTATCTGTCTACGGGGGGATTCAAAATAGCAACATCTGCATAAAAATTTAACTTTTTCAACTAACTTCCGGAAATACTCCGAGTTTCAAATATATGTTAAAATAGAGCTAATTTTAAGTTCTATAAGTTCAAAAAAAAAAAAAAAATTGTCCTGACGGCTTACCGTCTATATGCAAATGGTTGCCGTAGTTAAAAAACATGCTATTTTTGTGTTAAAATTCTTGGTATTGTATTTTAATTTATTTTAAAATACCTTATAAGGGGGTACACTGATTTTCATGAATATTATATAAATCGAATTGACATAGAATATAATGTTAAACTTATTTCAATTTTTTTTTCTTTAAAGTTAATTTTAACATTTGAATCATCTTAATTACCAATTTTATCAAATAACGAATGCGATGAACGTTAGCCGTTCAGTAAAAATCATTGCCTGTGGGAATGATTTTTTTGCATTTTTTCCGTAATTCTTTTTTAATTATAATTATGCTTTTCAATAATCAACCACTTTCTTAAAATTAAACAATATCTACAGATTTGCATTGTAGCCATTCTTATGGTAGTGATTTTAATCACTGTCAGATATCATCTATACTAGTCCCAATTATGCCACACTTACACTATGAGGCGACTTCACTGTGCTACCGTTTTTTATATCTATTTTGACGAGTTACTGCTGATTAAAGTTTAGGGATTTTAAAAAAAACGTATTTATTTTTAAATCATCATTATTGGGCATCATTATTGGGTCGTAAATTAATAAGAGTTACTGGTTCATAATATGATAGGGTATCAGTGTATTGTATTTCTATGAATCGGCATTATTATCAATTTAAAAAGCGTCAATCGTAGATAAGATGAGAAAAAATTGACTTAGATGGTTTGGTCATTTATGAGAGAGGAATCGGAAGCTATAAGAACAGCTGTAGAAATTAATGTTGAAAGAAGAAGAGGTAGAGAAAGACCAAAAAAGAGATGGAGGGATGTAATTGAATGCGATATGAGGACGGCTGTTGTGAGCGTAGATGATGTGAGTAATGTCAAGTGGAAGTATAGGATTAAAGCGAGGAAAAAGAAGAAAGAAGAAGACGACTAATATTAGATCATAAAATTAGGTTATTAATCATCTTAGTTTTGACAATTCATTTCAATTATAAAACCATTTGTATTGTTAAAAAACAAACTAGTATATCATAAAGCAACAATTAGGCGACTGTTTAACACAATTTAACAAAAAAAAATTCAATAATTTTACTATACCAAGTTAATAATTATAACATGTTTCTTCAATTATATGATTTTTAACTTTAAAGGTTGATTACTCACAGAGAATAAATCAACAGAACGTTTTTTTTTATATTTATTAATTTTTTAACATGAGTTGCCCGTTTTTATATTGGTATTCATTGATATATAATAATAAGGTCTAATAATTAGGATCAAATACTAAACAATAGAAGAACGTATCCTGAAAGATTATTAAAAATGTATAAGAATTATAAATACATATACAGAGGTATAATTAATAATAAAAAAAAAAAATTAAGTACAGTCAGAATCCCACATAGTGGGGTTGAGGCATTTTTTAGATAAGTATTGATTGTTATATGTCAGTGATTGAAATAATTGTCTAAAAATGCTTAGATGTGTATTTGAAACAAGTTAAAAAAAATTTACCAAAAATTACATGATTTTTGAATTATAAACCTAATTACTCAAGAGAACAATTAACTGGAATATTTTTCTTAATATTATATTACATTAACAAGCTTTAATTTAAAATGATGTAGTGTTCCGTAAATATGCTAAATTGTCTAGTTTTACCAAAAATTACATGATTTTTGAATTATAAAAGATGTTAAAGTTTCGGGTAGTTTTTCTTTTTTCATCTTGTAGTACATTGTACTAGCTTTAAAAAACGATAACATTTTAAAAACTAGAAGCGTTGTTTAAAGAAAACAAGTCAACATTGTACGAATTATGGATTGGGCAAGTAAAATGTATTGTTTATTTCTAGGCTTATTCCAAATATATAATATTATTGATAATAAAGTTGTTAATGTTCTAGTAAGAGAAATATCATGTAACAGTTTTATTAATTGTATTAGTGAGTAGTAGGGCGTAATTTTTTTTCAGTTGGACAATTTTTTTAAACGATTAGGAATTTATAACACTTATATTTTGATGACCGTTTTTCCTTCCTCATAATTAGGATCCGGGACTTCATAGTATTTATCAATGTTAAAGGTATAATAACTTTGAAAAGTATTAATTTTAATTTAGCATAGCATTTAACATTCTATAAATGTTTGATCAAAATTTTATTTTTCAATAAGTGCTATTCTATATGAAAAAAAAAAATAATAATATTATTCCACTTACAAATCATTTTATTACACTAACTTAACAATAATAGTTATTATAAAATATTTTATGATATTAGCAACATAAAACGTCTCGTTATTGTTAATTATACAGATTGATGCTTTTTACAACTTATAATTAATTAGTTAAATTATTCACAAGTTATAGTAAATTAAAATCTATAAATACAAAATAAATATATATTTTTAAACTAATAGAAAATATTGAGTTAATATAAATGGGAAATTTTACAGCAAAAGCACTCATTTTTTATTTATGGATAAAAAATATATTAAAACATCAAAACTAAAAATAATAGATCAACAATTTTCACTAGTCTTTATTTCCTCCTTTATTACTGTTATTTTTATTTTGTTGAACTTGAGCTTGCTGCTGTGCTTGTTGAGCCGCAGCTGCTAGTAAAAATAACTGCTGTTGCTGTGGATTATTGAATGCTGCAGCTAAAGCTTCATATGATTGCCTTTGCAATAACTGTCCATATAAATTACTTAAATACTCTTGTTGTAATAATGCTGCTGAAGTGTTTGCCGTAGCAGAGGTAGTTTTTCTTTGATTCTGTAACTTTTGTTTTTGCCTATTATTATTACTACTACTACTAACATTACTATTATTGCTGCGTTGTTGTAACTGTTGACGCACTGTTAAAGATGGTTTCACAGATGATGATGGGTTATTATAAGTATGTGATTTTGATAAAGGTCTTTGTTGTTGTTGAGCAGCTGTTATAGGAACAATAGTAATTTCAAGATTTGATCCTACATTATGGTGATGAGAAGCTTGATTAGTTACAGAACGATTTTGCTTATTTAATGCTAAATCTATAGCTCCAGATGAAGCAAACAAAGAATTTTGATGTGAATTATTATTTTTTTTATGGTTACTAGTTAAATCTAAAACTTGTTGATTACTTTGATTTGGTCGATGATATGAATTTGAACCTTTATTTATATTTGGCGAAGGAGAATTTAATACAGCTACTGTTATGTTATCATTATTTAATAACCAATTAGTGGCAGCATTACATTCACTCATACTGCCATTTGAAAGACGATTATGTCCTCGATGTCTATGACTGATACTTGAAATAGAGCCACTATCATTTTCATGGATTTGTTCTTTAAGTGAATCAATTGCTTGGTTAATTTTTCTATGAAGAGGTATGGTTTTGTTATCATTATTTGTATTTACAGATGAACTAATTGAAGTTTCTATAGACAATGTAGCACATTCAGTAGTAAGATTTTTCTTATTACATTTTGCAGAAATATTACTTGAGGCTAAAGGTGTGGACATACCAGTTTTAGATTCAGTACTACTATTACTATTTTTATTTAATATACAAACTACATCAGGTGTAACAGTTATTATATTAACTTCATCATCTTCATTATCTTCACCATCAAATGTACAATTACTACTACTATTGCTGTATCTTCTTTTTATATGAGTAGAACGACTATTATCTGGATGATTTGAAGAATGAACAACAATAGGTGTGACCTCTAAACCTCCTTGTCTCAATGCATCAACCAAGTTTAATTGTTCTCTTGATACTGAGGACATGTGATTATTTGTAGAGGAAGGTCCTAATTTCTGTTGAGGAATATGCTGCTGTAAAAACCTCTGTTGATACTGTTGCTGAATTAGTTGATTTCGAATTTGATATTGATGTTGATATTGCTGTTGAATTATCTGTTGCGGATGCTGTAATTTTCGTCTTTTACTGCTACCATAGGATTGCGTAATTGGTACAGCAGCAACTCCGTTTAATTTTTGCTCAATATATTGTAAATTTTTAGCAAAGTTACTCGTTATAGTAATTCCTGGATTAGACTTCTTATTTTGTGTGTTGGTAATTGCAGAACCATTAGCTACATTTACACTAGCTGGAAATCTTCCTTTCTGCAAACAACATTATTTTCATAAATATTAGACAATTATATGATAGTTTTTATTTTATTAAATTACCTTATTAATATCTAATCGAATGCTAATTTCTGAATCAGTTGATGACTCATAACATTCTCTTTGTGAATCAGATTCATCAGACTCGTCTGAGGATTCTTGAGCGGCAGCAGCTGCTGCTGCTGAAGATGCTGCCATGGCTTTGACACGGTTCCAGCGAAATGATGGTCCTTTAAGTTTAGGAGCTACAAATGTCAAATTTTTTAAGTAAATATATTAAAAATTAAGAAGGTATCTTTCATGATTAAATTACCTAGATGGTTACAAAGCATTTCATGAGTTTCTAATTCTGGATAATCAAAAGTATCTCGACAAAAAAGAACTCTTTTTATATTTTTGTTCATATTGCTTTGATGAGTTTTATTTGATATCTCATCAGTATAAAAGTCACCTCCTCCAAGAACATTTACTACTAATCGATTTTTTAATAATATCAGAGACTTTTCATTATGCTCATCTATATTTTTAGTATCATTTTCATTTGGCTCTTTAGGTTTAAGAATTTCTTCAAAACGTTTAAGTAAGGCACGATAACGACAATATCTTGAATAACTCATGACAACGATATCTTCAGTTGTTGAAGACAAACATAATAAATCTGTTAATAAAATAAAAAAATAAAACTTATTTTTATAAAAATAACTGTCATATTAGGGAGAAAATAATTGGAAAAGTTACCCCAAATGGTTGGTTGTAAAACCTCATTAATTTTGAAATTATGAGGTAATTGAGTTTTAATTGTAATGATCTAAATTAAAGGTCAGGAATTAATTTTTAAGGAGGGCTGCTGAAGAATAATAAAAAATAATCAAATTTCAACAAAGAAAATTAGTTTATAAATTTTCATATTAAGTGTTTAAAATTTAATTTTAGAAGAGAAAAATGCCAACCATATAAAATAAGATATTTTATATGGTATTAAAGTGTATTTTAACTTTTATTGCTATATGTACATTAAAATAAAATTAAAAAAAATTGATTAACATATAAAATCATATTTAAGAATGAACTATTTTTCTTTGAAACTTTAAAATGATTAAAAAGCAATGCCCTGAAATGTTACATTTAAACAAATAATTATAAATTAAAAAGTTTAATTACAAATGTCAAATATTATACAATTCTCACAATACTACATTTAAATATTTGCTAACTAATTCATCATTATCAGAATTTTGAAGTTGCAAAATATTTAATGCAAAAATCCAGTGACTATAATTTTCATACTTTCTTAATTAAGAATTTTTTAATTATAAACATTTAATTCAAGTGTATAATAAATAAAATAAAATTGATATATCATATTATTTTACCTATCAAATCATGTTTAATTAGTCAATATTATTAACTCATTTTTTAAATTAATTTCTTATAAATTAAATATTTCATAGGGTAAAGATAGTAATATATTGACACTATCTCATTCAAAGGTGTATAATATGTTAAAATTAGAAATGTGCCGAATACCCTGCTTTTGACTAATTGTTGGGTACACATCCTTCTTTATATAATAATTTATTGTTATAAATGAAATATTTTAATTTTTTAATTTTATTAATTCTGAAAATTTGGCTAACTGGATTTTACTTAATACTTAGTTGGTACATGTATTTAATACTCAAAATATCCTTAGTTAAAAAAAAAAAATGTGTTTATAATATCAAAATTTTAGAAAAAAATTGATATATAAACTTTAAAAAGGCATTTATACGTTTTTTGAAATAACAAGATTTCAATGTTCTAGATTTTTATATGCCATTTTAGAATATTAAAAATTGTAAAAACTTAAAGCTAAAAATTGTATACTAATATTATTTGAAAAATTTGTATTGATGTAAAATTTTTAATATTATATATTTTGTAAAAACATATTTAAAAAAAAAATTGAATATAAAAATTCATTTTAAATAGATCCTGAGAAAAATGTAAATTTGGTATAAAACCTTTGAATAAGACAGCATCAATATGATAACATAAAATTATTACTTACTATTTGTGATCTCTATAGTACTGTTATTTGAATTTTTTCTCTTATTATCACAACTTTTTCCTGATTTATTTTTGTCGTTATCAGCTACATCAGCATAATCAATGGCACACGCTAACAGAGGAATTATCTGTAAATTGTCTTCTACTTTTTCTTTAGATTTTTGTCCATCAGTCTCTTCAATAGTTTCAGTCTTAATTATAGTACAAAATTTTTCTTCTGTGTTCAACTCTGTTTTATCGTCATTATTAAGTTTATTGTTTTCATTTTTTATAGCTAGATCATAGTTATTTTTTTGTTTTATTGAATCAGAAAAATTAGTAGGAATGTTAATTTTTGATACAATATTTTCATCTGCATCATTATTAGTTGCACCACGAATCCATGAAACCATGTCTTTTACTCTTAACACTACTCTGTCAGTTATTTCTAATACTTCATCCTAGATAATAAAAGAAAATAAATACTTATCGAAAGATTGGATTTAGTATAAATTTTTTAAAGTAAGTACTGACCTCACCATGAGTGCTACATCTACCAGTTGGTGTTTGATCAGGCATAATATAAAGTCTAAGACTGGCTAGTTGTTCTGCATTATATGTACCAGATGATTTACCATTTAAAGATTCAGAAATTGAACATCCTCTTTTATTTATTCCATCATTTGATGATGATGATGAATCATCACCATAATCATCTTTTTCTTTAGCAGCATCGTCTTGCCATAAAAGTTCTAACTCACCAATACAAACTGTATCAGAGTCATTCCATGGACGTACAGCATAAAATTTATTTAGTAATACATTGTTCCAAATTAACTCATCATCAGATTTTGAGTCTAAATCTTGATTTACATTTTCATTTTTAACAAGATTTGTATTTTTGGAAGTTTTATAACGCATTGCTTTATAAAATGTACATGAACCATGTTTAGCTAAAGGTTCCCCTAAAAATTCAATGTAAATACTATCTGATGGATCATCAGTGGAGTCTGTATTTCCTTCTAAATGCTCAACAGACATCATTGTCATTACTCAATACAGTTATCACAAATATTTATAATTTTTCATCTTACAAGATACATGGCTACAGTAAAATTCATCAACAAAACGACAATTTTAATTGAAACAATACAGTAAATTAAAAAATATTAATGTAATACAGTAGATACGATTTGTATGATTATTTCAAAAAGTTCATTTAAAATTATTTTACCTCCTCTTTATTTCTCTTCTTTTCTAGACGTTGTTGTACAATTTGTTTGTAAATAAGTTTGATTTTAAAATGTTTTAAGCGATATATTTCCAGTGATGAGTAAATTATTAATACGACTATGAAGGCGTTTGATTAAAATTATTGGTATTTTGATTTACATTGCTAAGTGATCCCATGGCGCACGCCCGAAATTTATTCAATTTTTCCAGAAATTAATTAGGAATTTTTAATAATAATAACATACATGACGAGGAAAAATGTTCCTTGTAATTTAAGAACAATAATAATATCAGAAATAGATAAATTAATTATAAAAATAAAAATATATATTATATCTTGGATGTTGATAATCGATCGACAGAAGCGGTGGCGGCAGTGGCGTTTGCCTAAACACGAATAGAAAATAATATTATTTTCTTAATAGCATCGTCGCCGTCCCCCAATCGTTATCTCTCTCTCCCTTGCACCCGCTTACCCTCTGCCCCTCGCGCTCTCTCCCCCGTAAACAAAATAATAAAACTATCTCCGCGCACCAACATTGTCGTCAATTATTAAAAACATCGTTGATTATGGGTAAATTATCATAAAAAAACTTCCCATTTTAAGAAAACGCATTAATTAAATTTCTTATTGCCTTCTGTATTATTGGAACAAAACATAATATTTTGGAAAGTTACTTCCATTCGAAATAGTTTTTACTAAATTTGTGTATTTACCGCTTGTGATGTAAAATTAGTGTATTGTATCATGTATGAGAATGCTCACGACCAATGAAAATTCTTTACTGTGCTCCCACCAATATCCGTCACAACAACTTGATTTTGAAAAATACTTCAAGTGTATGTTATATAAAAATAATCCTTAACCTTTTTGAATAATGTGTAAATGGATTTATATTGAAAATCAAATAGAAATAATTTTGTTTTCAAAGTACTTTCAAATGAGTTAGAATGTACGTGGTATATAATTAATATATTTCATTATAGATAGAAATATTTCCCATATTATATGTAAATAATTGAATAACTTAATATTTGTTTTTTAACTAATTTAAAAAACTACGTGGTTTTGGAATTATTAGCGTGAAAATTTTGGCATGGTAATAATTTAATATAAATTTATATGATATTTGAATAGTATTGAAGTAACAGTATCTTTGATATAATTTGATTTATTAATAAATGTTCAAATAAATGTAATAACTTCACATATCAAATGAATTTTTAATTATTTATAATAAATGCCGAGGGAGAGAGTGAGCTGTTTTACGACGCATCCTCGATGGTACCAACCTCTCGAGCTCGAGCCCTCAACCATTAAATCTCTTTTATCCTCTTGCTTCCACCCGCCACTCAGATAGCTAGTTCATCGCATTCGCATGTCGGCGGCGGAAGCGGTAGAATTGAATGCACACGGGACGCCCAGACAGTGTTGCCAACGGTCAGCAGTCTTTATCCTAATAACACATACACATTAACATTGACTACACACACACACTCACGAATACATTCGATAACGCTGCTTTACTAGCAGCAGTTAAAGCCCATAGTACCTCAGCGGTAGTGTACTTGCCGATTACGTGCGAAGAATCAACGGATTAGACGTTTACGGAACACAGTTGTAGCTGTGACGGTATTATTTTACAACTTATCACATTTATTAAAAAATAATTTTGTTTTGTGTCCATAGATTTTGTAATTTTTTTGTTATTCATTTCAATTTTTGTCGTCACGTAACTCAGCTTAATCTGTTTTGAGATAAAAACAATAACAACTAAGTGATTTTTGTTGATACCGGCCGTGGCGGTTATTACTCGTTGTGATAAATAAAACAATACTTTAGTGAATGTTAAATAAAATTTTATGTTATATCTATTAAACGTGCCCAAATATTGGATGTAGTGCGGATCTGGAGGTACAATCATGAAGAAGACTGATTGTTTTAGTGGCTTAAAGGCCACTCTTCTGACTGACCAATATGCTACTGATGACACCTGTCTACATCGTTTATACCTTCGGTGGCTACGATAGTATCTAGTTGCTTGCACCCATGTATACTGTATATATTAAACATATTTACATTAATCGATAGACAATGCTCGATTTAATCTTTCGAGTTCACCACATTTAAATTAATTCTATTAACTTTTATACGGTTATAAAGTCTTAATTCGTTCTTCCTAAAAAAAATTCATCATGCGACAAGGCCGGGGAGGACAGCGTAGTAAAAAATGTAATTTTAAATATGTTTTTATTTATTCTTAAAACCTGTTAATGATATCAGGTGTAAATTATCTTAGATTTTTTTGTAATCATTTAAATTAATCAAACTATTTTTAGGTTGTAGTAGGCGTGTTGCTTCTTCAATAGCTTTACCAGCTACGTTAGTAGGTGGTGGAGGACCAGGAAATGATGATCCTTCCTCAGCTGCAGCTGCAGCCGCTCAAGCAGCAGCCGCAGCAGCACAGGCTGCTGCAGTATCATGGAAAGGACAAAATGATGGTTCAGGTTTTCCAGGGGGAGTTGGTCCTGGAGGTCCTATGGGTTATGGACCTGGGCCTGGCTTAGGTGGCCCAGGACCAGGTGGTCCATATCAACATCCATCAGGTCATCAATCACCATTTCAACAACAACAAGGCTCACCAGCGGGTTCAACTGGGGGAGGTGGGCCTTATTCTGGCAATACTACACCACAACACCCACATCAAGGTGGTTATAATGCTAGTCCAGCACCTTCAGGAGGATCTTCAACACCTGGATTTGGAGTTGGAGGACCTGGAACTCCTAATAATGGAAATACAGGAAGTGGTCCTCAATTTAATAGCAATAATGGTGGTCCAACATCTGCAGGAGTTCCTTTTGGTTCTCCTTCATCTGTAGGTTCAGGCCCAGGAAGTAGCCAACAATTTGGAAATAGTGGACCTGGTAGTCGACCAGGATCTGGTCCACCACCAGGTTCCTTTAACAGTAACAATCCTCATTTTGGTGGAGGTAATCAAGGGTATGGAGGTCAAGTAATGCCTCCTTCAGCTGGATCTCCATTTAGTGGAGGACCGCCACCTCATCACATGGGTGGTCCTGGTGGTCCCATGCCTAACCATACTGGTGGAATGATGGGTAGTGGTCCAGGTGGACTAGATGGTCGAGGTCTTGTAGACCATCCTTCGTAAGTAGATTATTCTTAATGTAAATAAATTTTTAATTATTTTTGGTCTATTTTGTAAAAACAATTATAAATGTATATATTCTACACTTTGGTACATTTATATAATGACAAACTTAATTTATAACTTGATTGTAAATATGTCTAAAAATTTAATGTAGACACTAATTAATGCTCATACATGGCATAGCCAGAATTCCATTATAGAGGGACATAGTAAAAAAACGTATAGAATTCAATATTTTGGACATTTTTTTTTTTTGCTTATGACTATTTTAGAAATTAATATTGTTGTTAATAGGGTCATGGCTTTCTTACTCACCTGGCTATGTCACTGTTCCTATAAAAATAGTTCTTAGTAAATTAAAAACTAAGAATTTATATTAAATTAAAATACATTTTTTTTATTTGTTTCATTAAAAATATAATTTCTTGATGTCAAAGGAAATTTAACCATTTTGATATAATTTAACATTAAATAAAAAAAAAAATTCTTTTTCTTTTAAAGTGTTGCTGTCTAATATAAAACAATATTTAGTATTTAATAATCTTTTAATTTTTGATTTTGTGCTTTAAGTACTTTACTACTTATTTATTTAGGTGTTTTTTTTTTTATTGTTATTAAACTAAAATATTTTTAAAGTTCTTATCTAACAAAGTATTATAATTTTTTGAGTTGTAGTTTTAGTGCATCTTTTGAAATTCAAAAAACAATTGTGATTAATACATAATTTTTCTTCTTTTTTTTTTTTTTCAAGTAATTAGTAAGTATTGTAATAGCCTATTTCATTTTGCATAACCATGTGCATACCGGTTGCGGTTATTTGTTGGTGGGTTAGTGGAAGGGATTGAAGGATGGGTGAGAAGCGGGCGATGGACGATCGATTTATTTTATATTTTACATTTTTTTCCCTTTATCATAACACCTTGGTAATGCTTAAACGTATTTTAAGTTGGCAACACCGTGCGGTAGCGGCGATTACATAATATTAATATAAAGTTGGGTGCTGTAGCATTTAGCGTTCGCACTGACGCACGCACCGACGTATCCATGGACACCGCCCTATTCCCTCTCCTCCTTTTTTCAACACGTTATATACTTGGTCGAAACTTCTCCCCTCTTATTCTGGTATACCGACATATATCGTCGTTTTATATATTTCGTTTGCGAGGCTATGATAATTATCAATATTATGTTTTTCTTATTTGCGTTAAAACGTAGAAACTTAATAATATTCAAAATGAAAGAATATGGCAGGTTCTAATATCGAATGACCTAATACAATGTTCTTCGATATAAAGTTTAAGTCAGCTAGAATTATAAATAAAGAATAAAATAACTGCATATTAATGGCTATTTTTAATATTTTAAAATAGGTATATTTTGCCCGTTCCATTTCTGCTTATCATATCTTCTAGATATTTACGTAAAAATTAAATACAATTTTGTTTATAAAATAACTTCATGTGAGACCTAAAGTAACCAATTTTTTTTAAATATTTCATTTGTATTACAAAAGGAAATTGCGAGTATTAAATTTATTTTTACAAGTATGATGACTTGATAGTTTTCCTATCAATTTCATACATTTTTTTGGTATTCTAACTTTTTATCAAGTATTTTAAAATAATGTAACGTATTAATTACTTGATTGGTTAGGTTTGTAATTAAAAACTTGCTAATCAATTGTAATTATTTTTGCATTAATGCTGAAGACCTTATCCTATTACTGATATGAAGTTCCATTACAGTTTATCTCGTGAAAATGACATAATAATTATAATATTAATTTATGTATTTCGATTCACATATTTATTTTTGTTGCGCATTCCGTAATAAAATAGACACTATAAATATGTGTTAATAGTATATTTTGTGGAAGTTAAAAAAAAAATTTCATTTTATTATTAAACCATAGTTATTGAAATTCATTTAATTTAAATAACTTATCCACTCATTCATTCTTTAAAATTATCCAAAATAGCTAACTTTAATTACTGTAGAGTGATCATTATATATATTTGTAATATTCTCACTTTATATTCTATCTATAGGAGTATTTGGACTATTTACATTCTTAGCTTTTTGTTTTAATTATTGTTAATATTTTAGTAATTAAAATTATTTATTGTATTGTAAAACCTTTTTTTACATTTTAAATGCTATTATTTTTATTTTTATAGATGTTTCCCAATGGGAAGTGGTGGTGGTGGTGGTGGTGGACGAAGAGGTGGTGGACATAACAGTCCTTATTACCAAGGTGGTCCTGGAGGACCTCATGGAGGTGGTCATCCACACCAACAACCACAACATGGTGGTGGTCCACCCCCTCATCATGGCCAACCTCATCCGGGTGGTCCACCACATCCAGGTGGAGGGCAACACCAAGGACTTCCTGGTCATCATGGTCCTCCTGGAGGTACATTACACCATGGTCCACCATCCCATCATGGACCACCAGGTGGCCCACATCATGGTCCTTTGCCACCTCATCATCATCCTCACCCTTCTCATCCTCACCCTCACCCACAGCACTTACAACCAGATTATCGAATATTTGAATTGAATAAACGACTGCAAAATCGAAATGATGTATGTTTAAAAAATTTTATTCCATAAATTTTATAACAAATTTTATTTAATAAAAAAAAAGGAATAGTTAAAGTTATGTTTTTATTTATGAAAACAATACTTTTATTGTATGATTTGCTTCATATATTTAGGAAAGTGATAACATATGGTGGGAACAATTTGCTACTGAATTTTTTGAGGATGATGCTACACTTACTCTTACATTCTGTTTAGAAGATGGACCCAAGCGTTATTGTAAGGATAAAATTATTAACATTAATCTATGATTATAGCCAATTATACATTTACTTTGTTATTTTTAATCTAGCAATTGGACGGACACTAATACCAAGGTATTTTAGAAGCATTTTTGAAGGAGGTGTAACAGATCTCTATTATCATTTGCGTTCTACAAAAGAATCATTTCATACTACTAGTTTAACTTTAGATTGTGACCAATGCACTATAATCACAACACATTTGCCAAATCCCAATCAATCTCAACAAAACAATGGTGCACCAATAAAAGGATCAGTGACACCTTCACCAGGTATTGGTCCAGGTGCACCAACTTCTGGTCCTAATAATGGAGGAATTTATACTCGTGTATGCACTGAAGGGAGGTTAACTTTAGAATTCACTTATGATGATTTGATGCGTATTCGCACATGGCATATGGCTGTACGGCAACATAGAGAACTTGTTCCTAGAGCTGCAGTAGCTATGCTATTAATGCAGCAACAACAACAACAAAGTCAACAAAATCAACAAAACCCTAATCCTGATCACATGATGTTTGAGCAGCAACAGCATCAAATAATAACTAAAAATATTACTCGCCAAGGAATTACAAATTCAACACTTAACTATCTTAGGGTACAGAAAAAAAAAAAAAAAAAATTTCTACGAGTATCAATATATATTTAACAATAAATTATTTTTCCAGCTTTGTGTAATTTTGGAGCCTATGCAAGAATTAATGTCAAGACATAAGGCTTATGCTTTGAGTCCTAGAGACTGTTTAAAAACCACACTGTTTCAAAAATGGCAGCGCATGGTTGCTCCACCAGGTAAAAATGATGTATATTTATGTAACACACATACAATTTAAGGTTTATTATTTCTAACTCTGTAGTATAAAAATACTATATATACTTAAATTTATATATTTAAATATCGTATTTTAAAATTTTAAATTTTTTTAATAAATTTTAAAAATTTAAGTACTTAGCCATTTTTATTCAACAAAAGATTAAATGAGAATTTTTTTTATTAATTGTATTATATTTTTATAATATTTTATTATTTCCTTTTTACAGAATCTCAAAGACCCGCAAATAAAAGACGTAAACGTAAAGGATCTAATTCTGGAGGAGGTGCTGGAGCGGGAGGAGCAGGCAGTGGACCTCCATCAGGTCCAACTTCAAATAGTGGTGGTGGTGGAGGAGGTGGTGGGGGTAAAAAAAGATCACCCGGTCCAAATTTTAATCTTGCTTCACAGGTAAATAGACAAGCATCAATTTTTAAAAAAGACATAGTATTTACTATTTTTTTTCAGGATGTAATGGTTGTAGGAGAACCATCATTAATGGGAGGTGAATTTGGTGATGAAGATGAACGTCTTATTACAAGGTAAAATAATTTGATTCAATATGTTCAATATAAATATTAAATATTTTTCAATAAAATAACTTTAATTGTTGTTGTTGTTTAATATAGACTGGAAAATACACAATATGATGCTGCAGCAGCCTTAGGTAGTGGACCAGGTGGAGCTATTGGTCCAGGGCCAGGTGGTGTTGGAGGTCCTGGATCTGTAGGAGGACCAGTAGGCATGGTGGGAGATTTAGGTGGACATATGGTTGGTGGACCAGGAGGTCCTGGTGGCCCACATCATGATTCTGGAATAATCAACCCTTTCGGAGGTGGAGACCCGGGGCAACCTCCGTCCAACGGTCCCCCGGGAAGCGGCGGAAACGGTCCAAACAATAACCAACAGCAAAACTCTTGGGGAGCTGGAGGACAGCAACAAAATCAAAATAATGGACCAGGAAGTGTAGGACCTCCTTCCAATAATCCAAATTCTGGAAATCAAAACTCATCTGGTCCTAATAGTAATAACCCCAATAATGGAAATGGCAATCAAGATTCTCTGTCATCTGATAAAAAATCACCAAGTAGCCTATTAAATTAAATTAGATAATTTAAAACTGTGGTTATAGATTTTTTAATTAAAAAACTGAATGTTAGGGATATGTTCTTGACACATCACATTATAAATAATTCATTGTAAATGTTTTTATTATTTATATTTAATGATTAGAAAATATTTTGAACGCGCATTAGGGATAGATAATTATGATTATTATTATTACTGATTAAGTTGTACATGGAAATAATTTGATAGCTTCTTGTAGCTTTATTATACATATTGAAATATTTGACTACTAAGATAAGTAAAATAAGTTTTCTTGTAATCATTATTTTAATGATAATGATCAACGTTTTTTTTTTTTTTAACAAGAGCTCTTTATAAGATTTGTGTCTCTTGTATTCATATTGATATGTTATTCCGTGTTGTAAATATATAAGTTTATATAATAAGCAATTATTATATGTTTTCTGTACATAAATATTGTATCAAATAAATACAATTTTGACAAACTTTTTTATGTTAATTTGTTGTTTTTATTTTTGTAAAATATTGAAATATAGGCAATAAAGTATAAATTTTATACAAAAAATTGTTTTAGTTGGAAACTTTTGAGTGAATAGTTGATTATATTAGGTTGATACTAGCCAGGAATATTATTTTGTGGCACATTATTATGATCTTAAAAAAAAGTTACTCTGCAAAAAATTACAATTAACAGCTTTTCAACATTCAACAACAATATTGGTATTTTTAAGTGTGAAATGTCTATAAACACATAGATAAATTCATGTGCATTCAGTTATTACAAAAAAATAAAATTTGTTTAAAATAAGGGTATTTTCAAGCCTTCTGTAAAACTTGAGCCTTTTATCTTTGAGTATTACGCACATTTTTTTTATACTAATTTAAGAATTTAAAACAATAATTGACTTAAAAATATCTATGAACTAATTTAAGCTTTAAAGTAAGTGAGTTCATTAATTAAAAATATTAAAATAAATTATTAATATGAAAATAAACATGGTTCAAAATAGTTGTGATTAACAACATCTGTTCATGTAAGAATAATAAAAAAATGTTATGTATGATGTATTCAACAAAATATTATTAAAGGTACCTAAAAGTACCACATATTCACTCTTAGTTCATTTATTCTGATAATTGAAACAAAATTATTATATTTAACATAATTTGACCAACAATATAATATAAATAATAGTAATTAGAAAAGTTACACCTATGCTGTCTCTTAAATGTTCAAAATGATTTGAAATTTAGTAAAAATTTAAATAAAATATCAATCATTCATTATAAAATTTGCTTGCAAAATAAGTTTTGACTAATTAAAATTCAAAAAGTAATCTAAATAGGATGATATCTATAATCCTAATAACATTTTTAGAAAAATAATGAGGTAAAAACATTTGTGGAATGTTTAATGATAAATGTTAGTTTTATACAAAAAAATGTTTTTTTAATGTTAATGAATAGAACATAATTTTATTTTATTTTTGTAAAATATTTTAATGTTGTAATTTGATTATCTATACAGTGAAAAAACTGTAATATCTTTTGATATTGAAACAGTATAATTGGTACATTTTAATCAACAAAACATTTTCAGAATTCATTTTCTTAAATAGAAAAAGTACATTTAATAAAATCTGAAATAAATTGTAAATTACTATCCTAAAATGATTTCATTCATAACCACCACATTATATGAAATATACATGTAAAGATATATCTATTTTTTTCCTTACATGAGTATTTCTAGACTTATATTTTTAATAAAAAATATATTAAAAATAACAGAGATACCATCAATTAAAATAATTCAATGAAATTTATATATATATAATAATTATATTTGTCCTTTTATTGTACAAACACAACATCTAATAATATATCTAAAACATAAAATAACAAATTCGGTATTGTTTCTTGAGTTTCTAACAAAAAAAAAAAAAAAAAAACAACAATGATGATCAACAATCAAAAAGAGTTAATAAATACTCCAAAAAAATTATTACTCTAAATGTTCTATTAATAATAATTATACATGATTTATGTTTTACCTAAAAAAAAAATAACATCTCCCCGACTACTTCAGCAGTAGCAGAGTAACTACTTTATTATCAATTTGTTTGTGGTACATACTTAAGATTTCATGTCATTTACTTTTTACGTACCAAAATTTTAAGCACTATCTGAGGTATGCTTCAAGCATTTCAACAAATAATTTATTCATTCGTATAGTTCCTTCTTTATGTATAGCACCCCAATACTGACGAATCAATTGATCAGCTTGTCGCAAGGAAGGTAAACATAATAATAATTCATTAATTCTTTGTTGCAACCTATGATGAAGGCAACTACCAGTATTATTTTCTTCATTTTGCCTAGCGAAAAGATCAAATAATTAACAATTTAAGTATATTACTTAACCATTAATATATTCTCACCTATTATTATTGTTATTATTTAAATTGTTGTAAGATAAAAGATCGTTAAGAGATTGCAAAATGGCATCCCGAAATTTTTTTAACTTGCCTTGATTATCTACTTTGATTGCATCTGAATTACTTAACACTAATGCTTTTAAAAGATAATATTCTTCTTTTTGAACTTTTAACTGTTGTAGCTTTTCCACAATATGTAAACACTAAGAGTAACAAAGTTTTTATGAAAAACAGTTTATTTTAATAGTAATATTAAAGTTTTTTCATGTGTACCAAATTATAAACATCTCCCAATCCAATTTCTTTTGCTTGTCTTTCATCTAATAAATAATCAGTAGCATATTTTAATTTCTTTTTTAAACTATCACCATTCAATACTGAAGGATCTGAGGTTGTAAAAACAGAAATTGACCTGTATGCTGTTGTTAGAGTAAGTAGTTCAGCCCAAGTTGATTGTAGTAATCGCATTTGATCATTTAATGAAAGTTCAGTAAATCCTAAGAAAAATATACAAAAATAAAGAATAGGAACCATGACTAAGAAATTCTATATTATTATACCAACCAGGTATTTGCTTTGCCCAGCCAATAGTACTGACTAATTCTCTATCATAGAGATCAGACAAGATATACACAGGTGAATTTAATGTAGTTATAGAAGCTACTATAGGTGAGACTGTAGACTGACATAGTTGATTACTGTTAATATTGGTGATGGCTGCTTTAAAGTTATTATTTCCAGTTAAATTTATAGTAAGCATATCAGGTTCACAAGCTTGTAGGGCCTCCAACATTTTATTTTCTTAAAAATAAAGGAAAATAATAGAATAATTTTTATTAATGAACTATAAAATACAAAAATTGAAGCATGTTAAATTTATATGATTTTATATGATAAACATTCAAAATAGGTTAGAAAAATGTATACCTTCTAAAGATACTATTCTTCCAGTTAAGCCACTGCAACAACAGCAACAGCTCTTAATAGAATTACTCATGTTGCCTGTAGCCCAAGATGCTGGTCCTACATTACCATTATTAGTCATGTTGTCATTTATTTGGGTATGGTGATGTGATTGTAATAAACATTGTTGTTGGGACAATTGTTGATGGTGATGAGAATTCTGAGACTGTTGTTGAGTGGTTTGTCTACGATATTTTTGGCGACCACCTCTTACTCGATCAAGACGAACACCTTCTTTTAACATTCCCATACGTAAACATTTCTGGAAGCGACAAGCTTGACATGCTTTACGACGTCGTTTATTAATTTCACAATCACTGGAAGCTGGACATGTATATTCAATATTCCCTACAATAAAATAATAATAATAAAATGTAATATTGGAACAGTTTTATATTTTTACATAAATTCAAACTCAACAAATACCTTGAATAGTACGTTTAAAAAAAGCTTTACAAGCTTCACAAGATGCTACTCCATAGTGATAACCTGAAGCTGTATCTCCACACACTAAACATAGTCTACGATTTTGAGGAGATCCATTACTCATGTCATCCAATTTGTCTTTAATAACTGTACAACCAATAGAACTATTATTGTCCTGTAGAAAAATTTATAAATTTGTTAATGAATATTCAATACAATATTCAGAAATTAAATAATGAATCTAAATTAGTCAAATAATAAAAAGGTTTGATATATATGTAAATTTATTTCAAAATTACGAACAAAGAATTTAAGATTTTGGTGAAGATTGTAAGTCATAAAACATTGTTGATGATCTTGAAAATACATTTTATTAAAAAATGAATTGAAATAAAAATTATTATACTTTTTAGCATTAAAACAGAAACCATACTACAACAGTTCACAAAGATACAATGATGCTAAAATGTTATGTTCACATTGTTAAAATATAAATAAAAATCCTATTCTGATTACATAACACACTATATAGATGTACTAATATTTACATGAAGAATGGTATTGGAATAAAAAGTAATGTATAATTTATAAAAGGGTTTAAGATGAATAATAATTTTAAATAGCCATCAAAGTGTGAGATGAGTATTATTTTTCTAATGTTTTGGGAACAACAACAAACCAAGTATTATATATATTTTCAATTCATTTTATTATAATTTATAATTTATGACAACATACATTTTCCAGTTTTAAAATGAGGTATTGAAATATTTGAAACAAAAATAGCAACAGAGTCTATTAGCATAAACATAATATTTTTTTGATGGTTATGAAAATTATACATATTGTAATGCTTACTTGGACTGATATAACAACACGTGTATTAGAATTACTATTCCCACTATTGTTTGTAGTACTAGAGCAACAAAATTGATTTTGTTGGAAAGGTTGCTGTTGCTCATCAAGTAATTCTACTGAACCCAATACTAAATCACCAGAACTTGGACTTCTAGGTGACATTTTTGAAGTAATAATTACCCCATTACTACTGCTACTTGAAATATCAAATTGTTGTGACGTACTAGCGCTGCTAGTACTCATAGCAGGCTCTTTGCGCGTACTACTAGCTACACATCTATACATCTAAACATAAGTTTAAAAATATAAATCCTTCAATTTTGAAATTTAATAAAGTTTTATATACTTCAGATGGAGATGAAGGTGATAGAGAGCTACTAGTGGCTGAAATAGTATCTTTCTTAACAAATATCATATTGTGTACTAGGTCCAGATCTTCAGTGGTCCTAGTATCTAAATCTAGATTTTCAGTATCCACTTTTAAATCAAGATCTACATCTATAGATGTAGTTTCAGCAAATGTTACTATAGTTCTATCATAGGGCGAAGTTTGGATAGTATTACGTTGGTGTTGGTGTCGATGCATGTGTGTAGAGGTACGGATATCAGAGCACCATTTATTATCTACAATGTTCAAATGATAGGTTTATATACGATTACTAGTTATATTAAACGTAACTAAATATAACTAAATTAAATACTTTACCACAGTTGCCACAAATTTTTCGTAGTAGTAGCTGTGGAAGTAGTAAGGCCAATTGACTGATTAGGCAATGTGTTACTATCAATAAAAGAAAGCTTTATCAAAATCATTGAAAGTTGAATGTAAGTAAAAGTTTAAATAATATAACTTAAGTATAGAAAGCATATATACACAGATGGATATTAAACATCACTTACTAAATAAAATAAAAACATATTATAAAAACTAGTCACGCGCTTGTCCGTCGCCGTCTCGATGATAATAATAATAAATATTAATATGTAGGCACATATACATTATAGTATATATCTACATCTCTAATCCAAATTACTACATTATCACACACTCGCACGCTGATGAGTAAAGTTGTGGTAATATTGGTGGCGGCGTTGGATTTGGATATGTAATGATATTAAAACAAAAAATAACCTTTACGCTATCTGCCGGTGTACTCTTGGTAAGTTTAAAAAAAAGTTTAATCCATTAAAAAGTAATAATTTCTGGAAAAAATCGAATTAAAACACTGGACGTACAATAGAATAAACGCCACTAAGAATAATAAAAAAAAAATTTAACGATGCATATTATTTGCAAATTTTGCCTCTCAAAATAAAGTAAATAACAATTAATGTAATTGTTATTATTTATTAAAAATTGGTCTAGCGGTGAAAATTGTTAAAAAAAAAGGTAGCACGAGCCGGTAGTACGGAACGATCAGTGCAGCTGACGCGGACTGCGCCGAGGCCGAGGCCTTGAAAACCGCCGGTCAGCCCCTTCTCCTCCACAGATTACTATAGAAGGTGCTATAAGTCCTCCCCTCTCCTGTTTAGACTATCATGCATGGACGGAATGCTACTATTTAACATAATATAAAATTATAGAAATAAAAAACCAAATGTCGCTTTTATGTAATTTTTTTCCATTTTTTTTTTTTGTTTTTAAAGTTTAATGAGACTATTGATTTTCTTCTTCCACATCGCACGCCAATGTTAACACAAAATAAATCTACAAACGTGTAGCGTCCAGGATAAAAATATGTAGTTTAAATATCAAACTTGATTTTTTATTTTCGTTGCACTATGAGCATAATTTATTTTCATACAAATCATATTTATAAAATATTAATGTATTTTAAGTGGTCGGCGGCCTTGGTGGGGCATTGCGACTATCATCACCTAACAACCGCGTTATTGTGTGCGTTCACGCATTACAACACATAATATTTAAACGGCTGTACGTACGATTGTTTTATTATATAAAAGACTACACCTATACATAATGTATACAATTTTTTTTTATCATAATGTTAAAAAAAATCGTCCGTCGACGTTGTGCAAACGAATTCCACCCCTCCACTTCCATTCATGATCAACATTGTGGTGGCGTAGCAGTCAAGTTCAAGGCCATTTAGCCCGCAGTCTCTGCGGGCCTCCCTGACCTCGCGATGGTGGACCATAGACACAAACAACCAACGGCGCGTTTTTGCAGCAAATTGGCGGTGCAGTGCGTCGGGCACCATCAAACAGAATACATTTTCCTCTGAGAACGTTCTGAAGATTTGCATGCCTCAGCAGGTTACAAGGAGAATTGATCTAATTAATTTTTTATCATTTGCGCATCAAATTTTCATAGTACATTACCGGGTATTATGCGTCTAATATAGCCACGTTGAATGTTCCCTAGAAAATTGTTTTTAACGTCAGAGCCTTAATTTATACAACTAGCATTGCGTTGTGACGGCCACTGTTCAATTTACTGTCTTATTCAAAAGTACTTTTATAGGTCACCGGATACTTAAGTAGTTACACGAATATAGTATCACAATAATGCATTCAAGCAACAACTTAAAAAATCGTTTAGCTAGATGTTTTACTTATGGAAAATAATGTTTTATAACTGGACAATTAAATTTTCGATTATTAACTATATAACTTGATTGATACTCAAACAATGTGTTATTTATTGATTATGAAATCAATATCCTGTCTAAGAGATTGAGTAAAGTGGTGTAATATTTTAAGAGATTTATTTATTTTTTTTATGGTCATCCTTAAAATACAAAAAAATTTGAAAAATTGTGTAAAACTTTAGAAAATATATATAACCTTTTTAAGGTTTTTATCAGCAAATATTTTAAAGAATTATGACTGTTAAATTTTTTCGACTATCGAACTACATTTAGATTAATAAATTAAATGATATAATAGAAATAGATATTTCAAAAATACCTGAAATTTTTTAGCTGTTCTTTATTAAAGTAATGTGTTGTAATAATAGCATTAACGTGACAAAAAATTATGTTATCATATTATTACTCATATTATTGTGTATTAAAGGAAAATATTGTAAACTTTGATCACAATTAAATTATATTATTAATAAGGAATTAAAAATATCTGGAAACACTAATGATGTTGATCCCTAATTGAATTAAAAGAAAAGTATAAAAGACGGGTTAACGTGGCATAAAATCTCACTCGCACACAGAATCTCTCAGAGTCAGTTAGACATCAACATCATTAGTGTGAAAAGACACATTAAAAAAAAAAATAAAAAAAAATAATACTCATTCAAAGGTAAGCAAGAATGCTGAACATAAAATTTTAATATAAATAATAAAGTTTGAATAAGTACTTTTGGTAAACTGAATCTATATAGAGCAGATTTCGTTTGAGCTGTTATTTTACGGTTGGCGATTGCTCTGGATTTTTGGTAAATTAAAATTTACATATACATATGTGTGGTAATATTCCTTTTCTTTGGAATGGTATTAGTAAAAAAAAATAGAGAAAATAAACCCTCGGAACACTGACCCCGATATAAAAAGTAACTCAAAAATATAATAATAAGGAATTAAGCTTAAGACCATAAGAGTCTCAATTATTTCAATATCTGCTCAAACAACACATCTGTACAAATATATAATATTATATATTATTCTTTTAACTTAATTATCTTTATTTTATTCCTCATCATCTTTTTTTGAGTTACAACAAATGTTAATGGGAATCTGTTAAATTTTGACAATGTTTCAAATCACCGTTAAAAATAAAACTCTTTAATACAAATAGTTCCTCTAATTACAACTATATTAAAGGCATTAATAAAAGAAATTGTGGTAGAAATCAGTATTGACACAAATATTAGCCATTTAAACCAAAATATTTATGTTTTTTGTCTGTTAGGTTTCACTAATATACGTGAAACTATTAAGTTTTATTCAAAATATTTTAAGCATAAATTATTTTCTGTAAATTTTAAATTACAAAAATATTTATATTTTTTTCATAGCTATTTAAAAGGACAAATTTTAAACTATTATAAATATATCTGTAGCATATCTAGGGATCTAAAAGGGCTAAATCCGTCTATTGGTTACAATTATATTTAGATTATTATATTATTTATTTATTTATTTACAGTAATTATACAGAATTATTTTTCATCTACACTAAATTATTTTTTAGGAGGGCTATTGTTTTTAGTTTTTGAAAAACAAATGAAATATTAAAACGCCGTAGAATTATTTTGTGACTCCCATGTTTTTCTTTTATAGAATTTTTAGGTTTTAGTGTAAGAATCAAAAAATTCTTTATCATAAATTTTCAATAATTATTATTTATTACTTCAAGTAATTTGATAAAATATCCTCGGGGAAATTATTTAGTTCTATTGAATTTTATATATTATATTCTTCATTATAATCTGCAGATGAATATTCTTAAGAACATTCCTGTTTGCACAGTTCTTTCTATTGTCGAAAAGAGAGGTACTTTTTTTTTTTAGTAATATTTTAATAGTACTTAAATATTTGAATATGTTACAATTGTTTTGCTATTAATTATTAAATGGTATTTATTATTTCTTTTTTGGGAAATGGGGTTTCCAACTTTTGTCGTTCACGCTTGCTAACTATATGACAGACATGCACTCTGTTTTTTAAAATATCATATAGTAAATATTGAAATCGTTTTTTTTTCCAGTAATTCTTTTGGATTTTGAGTAAATTTTTTTTTAATTTTTTAGTTTTAAATAAATATTTTAATTTTAACTTTTGATAATATTAGTTACAAGTGATCCATTCTTATTATATATAATAATAGTTTGAGCTCAAATCATAAGGTTAGAAAATAGAACTTAATTTGTATACTTATAAGAATAAAAAAAATACTGGACCACTAAAGAATTCAAAATTTTGTAGAATGGTTTGATTATTATGTTGGCCGAGAAGAACTTCTTGAAGTCCTACAAAATAACCATAAACAAAAAAATATGATGAATTTTTTATTACCAAATTTTGAATATACTTAAAATATTTATCATTGTAGTGATACTCTCCGATTATTAAATTGATAATATTCAGTGAATTTGGGTAATACTTAGGTATATTATACTTTACACTTATTATAATTACAACACATTAAGTGTTATTTTGTCTTAGTCATCTTCACATGTATTCAATAGGTATATTATCTTATAACATTAGAATTTTTAATGACAACTATAAAATAAGTTAGGAACAAGAACAAGAATTTCATTTTAACAAGTAATGCAGTACAAACCCAACCCAACCAATCGTTTTTACTATGAGTTTTAATCTCATATATCTTAATCGCTTAATTAATTTTAGATCATTAGTAAGTTTAAAATTTTTAAATTGTTTTAGTAATTTTTTTAATGTTTTACTTCATCAATCAAAAAAAAAAAAAAATCCAGTACATTAAGGATCCGGCATAGTTGAATTCTGGCATAACCATATCACTATTGATTAACATTTGACAGTGATTTACACCATTAATATATAACGCTTAGATACAAATATAATATAAAAAAAGATGTTGTCAATTTTTTGAAGAAAGAGAGTGATTTATTTCTTTAGACGGCACTTAGAGCCACCTTTAAAAATTCTATGTAGATCAAATATTTATTAAACAAATAACGTAGAAAATATTTTTAAATCAAAAACTATCCTTTTTTAGATTTCATGGTTTTAGAAAAACTGGGAATTTCATATCGCTTATTATCGTTTTTACTTTTAGGTTGTTAACATTAAAATAATAATAATAATGCTATCAAATTTTATAGACATTATAAA